TGGGTGGCCTTTGTATCTATGGAGGTCAGGTTTGCATTCTCAACTTTTAAAACATGCCATCATTCATTTTAGGCTGGACGCTGAAAATAAGCATGTCGTCTCTTCTGTGTCACCCTTCTGTCTTTGTATTTTTCTCAGATTTACTGAACTAGACAGGTTTAAATCCCTTTGGAAATGGCATTCCATTCTTTTTGCAGAGGTAGGGGAGGGGTGGGGGGGAGGGGAGATGGGAATGGTTGGGGTAGTGGGGGAGGGGTGGGGGAGGGGAGATGGGAATGGTTGGGGTGGGGGGAGAGGGGTGGTGGTAATGGTTGCTATGTAAAGCCCGAGTACGTCTTTTGAAATGTCATTTTCATTCCATTAATTCCTCAGTTTTTTGCTGAAATCTCTGATGGGGGACTTAGGGGTGTGACTTCAAGGTAACTTTGATTTGCCATCACTTAAACATTTTGAGTTGTAAAAGAAACATATTGGGAAAGGTAAATTCAGTAGCAATACATGTGTTAGAATAACACAGCTTTGAAGATCAAGTGGTCTGTTATCTACATTTTCCTCTGTTTCTTGTACCTCGTCAGTTCCATGGGTGAGTCACAGGCACAGGTTTAAAGCACAAATGATCTACAGATTTCTGGTGCTATGGCGCCACCTACTGGGATATTTCTAAATATTCCTTTGTCCAAATGATGAAAACAGGCACTTACGAAGGAAAAAAAAGGTGTAGAAAATGTTGCCCCCGGAAGAGTACAAGTCAAAGGGTAACACACAGAAGCCGCAGGTGCACGACGGCGCTCAGCTTTATTGTGCTCGCCTGGCCAGACGTGGGCGCAGAGCTTAAGGGCACACTCGGCGCAGCTCAGGCTTAGAGAAACGCGGTGTTTGATGCTGCTTTTCTTTCATTGTCACATCCGAAGTACGTGCCCTCTTAATTCTTACTGTTTCACATATTTTTCTTTCCCTGCGTTCCACAACCTCCCAGCATTATTCACAGATAATGTTTACGTACGTTGTAACGTTATTTATATGGACACAGCCTCCTAATGTTAAGCGGGCATTTATTATGCACTGGTTATTGAATGCTTTAGGCAGATGTTTCATTAGCTTTGGGTTCATGTGACTCCACTAACTGTAAATGGTTGCTTTCAAGTGATGCACGAACTAGGGTATAAATAGCACGGGGCTGTCACCTATTCCAGACAGCGGAGGTGACCTGGTTGGCCAGGCAGATCACTCCGGGGCCAAACCCAGCAGCCAAATGGGTAGATCGTGACACAACTAAACGACTCCTACAAGCATTCTTACCAGGCCTTGTTCAGCGCTGGTCCCTCCTGCTGTGGTTTTGCTCATGTTCTGATGATGTCCGGTTCGTGAAATGCAACAGGCACTTGAAATCACTGCTCAGAGAACTGAGGGAGAGTTACAAAATGGGGTGAGATGTTGACACCTTGTGCAGACGGCTGCTACTGCGGCCCCCTCTGAGGATGCACATAACTTCGCCTACCCGCTGCCTTTCCTCGTGGGGGAGCCAGGCTCTGCGGGAATGCTTGCTGGTGTCCCGCTGATGTTTCTGTAAAAGTCGTTGGATCATTTTTGGGGGGAGGGGGAAAAATGTCCTTTAGATATTACCTGTGTGTTACAGAGACGGTGTATCTGCCTATAGGGGTTCTGTGACCGTGAAACAAGTCATTTTAATCGCATCCCAAGTCTCAACTGTGATGCCGAGGGCTCAGAGTTGTCTTTCAAAATGACAGGAGGCTGGTGTCTCTGCGTGTGTCTGTGTCTGTGTGTCTGTATGTGTCTGTGTGTCTGTGTGTGTCTGCGTGTGTCTGTGTGTGTAGTCCTCTACAAAGAAGGTGAAATAAAGCGTGAGGAACGCTATTGTGTTTTACTATCACTCGGTGGAAGAATTTAGGATCAGATTCTGAGATAGACTGGTAGAAAAAAATGCATATTCAACTCGAGGATCCTTTGTGGGAAGCCAGCACGAAGGCAGAAGAACGGGGAGAGTGATCGGTTTTTAGATACTACGCTGTTTTCCATGGATGCTGGATTTTCTTGTATTGAGGATTAAAGGGTTCGGGGGAAATGTTGGCTGTGAGGGCATTATCAGATCAGGAATACGTAGATGGCAGCACAGATAGGTATGTAGTTACACGGAAGAGGTATTACTCTGTTCCAAGCTCCGGAAGCCACTTCACAGCTAAACAAGAGGTGTGTGGGGAGCTGCAATACATTGTTGGACGTTACCGTTGTTTGGTTGACTTTCCTGGTGAAATAACATCCTGCAGTAGATGGACACACCGCCGCATTTTCTCTGTTTGTCTGTGACATACACAGAGCATTCACTCAGCACACTGCATTTAATCTGAAAGTCTGTGTTCAGTGTAAAGTTCACTTTAGCAGGTGTAGCAAGACAGATCACTTGCTCTGCTTTTTTGTTTTTACTTAGCTTTTGAGCTGTTAACAAACACCAGTCTCTATGGAACCTGTAGCACTGGCTAGAATAATGTCCTTGCTGAAAGGTCGGATGTGAGGAAAAGCTTACAGGACGAGTTGAAGGTGGAGAGCCGGTCCTGTGGAGTCAGATGGACTCAGGCCAAGTCCGGGCTCGCATGGACCAGCCCCGAGAACTTAGCCACGGCCCCTGCCGTCTCTGAGCTTCTGGGAGCCACTGTGATGCTTAGGAAGGAAAATGCAAGCAGAGGGCTTAGCGTAGTGCCTGGCACCCAGGAAACAATGAATATTAGCGGTTAGTAACAATAAAATACTGTTAGGATAATATATTCTAGAATAATAATAAAATATTATTAAAATAAATATTATTTCTTGAAACATTCTTAAAAAAGATAAATCTCTACAAACTTTCATCTTCGTTTTGGTAACTGAGTTTGCTGTCCTTTTCAAAACATAGATTAAAACGCTACACATCATCGCTTGCCTTTAAAAACATGCATTGCTTTCGAACCGATTGGAATTAAATGAATATCT